AGCCAGTGAGGCTTCCACCCTTTGCTAATGAATCTTTGTGGCCTGAAGGATGTATTGAGTTTGAGCACTTTCCAAATCTATTCCAGATTTTGTTTGGAAGGCCTCATATCCAGCCAGGGGCAGCTCCTTTGCTACAGCCCTCTTAGATCTCCCCTTAGGTGCACACAGCGTCGTCCATGAGCACAGCCTTCCAGACCACTAGGGATAAAGTAGGCTGTCTTATCCCTAAGATCTGTTAGATCTCTGGCTGGTCTGTCTGCCAGTCTATTGCTAAACCCAATCACTATTGAGACCTCAGGCTAGCTAGTGTCGGCCACGACAACTTATGGGATTGTCCACACTCCACTCCAAATAAAGGCCGGCCCCTCCGATGGCCCTGGTAGAACTTCTGTGCCACAGAGCTGGAGGAAGGGGAGCTGGGATGGGAAAAGCCCCAGGCAAAAATATCAGTTCTTAGTGAGGTTTAGTATCTTTTCTTGAACAAACGCTTCTCAATTTGTTTGTATGCCTTTGGTCAATTTCCAGTCTTGACATTTTTTTTTAAGTTTGTTCAGTTCTATCATTGCTTTTTAGGGGGAGAGGATTTGCTGAGCTCCTTCCTTGGCTATTCTGGAAGTCCTGCTCCTTAAACCATACAAGTTGTAGGAATAATTACACAAATTCACCCTACCCCTGGGGAGAGCTGGGACCTTCCTTGGGCTGTGAAATCCTCAGGGTAAGTCACCTTGGCAAAATGTTGACTTCAGCCTGGAAACTAACTGGACCTACAGGAAGAAGTCCTATTTCGTAGACCAGAACCTGAATTAGGAGTTCTCTGTACTTGTTTTCTTTCACTTATTCCTTAGCCTGGCTTTTTCAAGGACATTCATGGATCACATATAGTCCATGAAAAAAGCTCAGTGGTCAAATGTTTGGTTTACATTGAGCTCAACAAAATCCAAATGAGTTCACATCAGGACATCTCAATCCTTTAATATGCTGTTCATTGAGATTCTCTAAGAAAAAGAAATTTTATGTGTTTCTCCATGTTGTGACCACCGAATACTTTTTTCTGCCACAGACCATTTCATGGGATTAATGATCTGCCTTTGGTCTGTTTCACTTGAGATTTTCAGCCTGGATCACAAATGCTGAGATTTTCAGGGAAGAAGTATCTGTTGACAACTGTGATAGTGATATGCATCAACCTTCTAGACATGGGAGCAGTCAGTGGTAGTGGAAATGAATGGAGGGAAATTCCTTAGGGAGGTCAAGTTTGGCAGACAATCAAGCTCTCTAATACAGCTGCCCCTCCTCACCAGGAGCATTTCATTGGTGACCTTCCAAGTTTCTGGGTTCTATTTTTATTAAGGAGGGCTTACCATGTGCCAGACGTTAAGTCATACTCTTAGAAAATAAAGACACAGTATCTGCCCTCAAGGAGTATAGTTAAGGATGTGACAGAGAAAACAGTTGTAGTCAAATGTCAGAGGAGGTGCAGGTCTAAGTGTCCACAAGGTGCTGTGGTTAAGACCAAGGGCCGTTAACCTGCTCTGAAGGGTTCAAGAAGACTTGCAAGAGGGCATGATGCCCAGGCTGGTTTTTGGAGGCCAAGAAAGGCTTAGCCAGGAAAGGAAGAGGGGAAGAGCATGTACAAAGGCAGAGAGGCCAGGGAAAACATGGTATACTCAGGGAATTCCAAGTAGCTTGCAAAACTAGAATATTGGATATGAAAGTGACTGAACAGGTATAAAGGGAGCAGGAACACGAAGGGCCTTGTGTGGTAGGCTAGGGAGTTTGGATCTTATTCTCAAGGTGAAGGGGGATTATTAAAGGCTCTTGAATCTCAGGCTTAGATTTCCCTTTTGAAAGCTCCCTATGGCAGCAGTGTAGAAAATGGATTGTGCAGGTAGAAGATCAGAAAGAAAGCTTTAGGAGGCCAGCAAGAATGACAAGGGCCTAAACAAGGGCAGTATAGATGGAGAGGAGAGGGCAAGTGCGAGTTCAAACTGACAGGGCTGGATTAACCCAGATGTTGGGGTGAGGGGGCAGAGGTATTGGTAGGCAATCCCAGGCAATGGTCGAGCCATACCATAATACGGGGGATACAGGACAAGAGGCAGGGTTTGGGGAAGGAGATAATATATTCAGGTTTGCACTTGTTCAGTTTGAAATTCTGATAAAACATGTGCGAGATGTTCAGGAGATGGTTGGAACTCTGGGTTGAGAAATACAGGTATCTATTAGAATAAAGAGTGTAGGTGGGGCTGGCTGAGTGGCTCAGTTGGTTAAGAGCTTGCTCAAGAGTGTGAGCTCTGAGCAACAGCAGTTCGCGTCCCGGCCCAAGCTGAACAGCGGCTGAGCTGCCAACAGGCAGCAGAATGGCTCAGCTTAAAAAAAAGAGTGTAGGTGACGCCATAGGTGTGGACGAGATTAGGTAGAGAGTATGTAGACTGAGAAGCAGAGACAAAACCCCTAGGGAACTAGTTATCTTCCTCTTCCGAATGCCTATAGCATCTGTAACTCACATGGAATTTGTCACATGCCGCAATACACATTTAGAGCTCAGTGCTATGTGTGTACAAAGAGTATCATGCAAGATAGGGCAGTACAAACAGAAATAAAAGAAGGTTCTTTCATCCCAGGAGACTATGATCTAGTTGTGGAGAAAGAATTATACCCAACTATTATGCAAAATGAAATGATATAAGAGCTATAAATGTGCTGAGTGTAGAAGAGACAATTAATTCAAAAGGAGAGAACAGGTTGCAGGAGGGGAGGAGACATTTGAGTTGGGCCTTGTAAAATTCTGCTAGCAGGGAAGGGGAAAGAAAGCAAGTAATTTGAGGCTGGAAGTTAACGCACGAAGACCACAACAGAACGGAGTGGAGGAAGTGACAGAGAGAAAGAGGCTGGAAAGGTGGCTTGGGGCCAGGATCCAGGGAATCCTGTCGAGGGCTCTCAGGAGTCCATTTTAAAGGAGGCACACACCTGACTATGTATGTCCAAGTGCCTGCGACGTAGCAGTCATTCCTGCCTACTCCCTAATTTCAGAAATGCCTTTAAGAACAAAGAGTAAAAAATTCTAAAGGAAATCTAAAAATCACCAAACTAAGGCATGAGGCTTATAAATGTGCTCTCTCAATTCTGTATTTCCATCCTGCAAAACTGTGTTAGTGGAACTTTAATTACTTGGCTTCATTATAAAATTTCCATTGCATGTAAGTGTAAACAATTTCACTCTAATGCTCTCATTTGAATCTGTGGCTGAAAGCATCAGGAGAAATCACATTTTTGTGGCACTTCCTTGGCACGTTGAAGGAAAACAGAATGAAGACTGCTAATCAAGTCATGAGTGACTTCGAAAGTAATGGATTATATAAAGATAGTAAATAATAAGAGATAAAGAATTATATTTTAAAGATTAAAAATATTTTATTTAAACTTTTCTTCATAAACACTTTTAACATTTTTTTTCAATTTAAAAACAGAATGGATAGCATAAACATGTTTGAATAGATTATATTCACGGCTTGGGAAAAATTACCTGACAAAAATGTAAAGGCTTTCAAAACAGGTATAAAAGGCAAACCTTAAATTAGTCTAAGATTTTTAATCGGCCCTAGGATTATTTGACTACTGGCCCAAAATGTACCTAAAGGTCAAAATATTTTTCTATAGACAAAGTATGCCCAAGAGGTATAGGGCATATACAAGTTAGGTAGAAAATAGCCTCTCTGATCACCTCACTGGAACATTCCTTCAGAAAGCAAACTCCTAATCCTTACTGATATACTGATTAATAGGGGTTTTAATGTAGTTGTTCCCAAAGGTGTAAAAAAGAAAATCCAAGAATATTAACGGGGAACAAACAAAGCTGATGGCATTCTCTCAATGTTACTCGTGTAATATTGAAGTTATACTGGTATCCTGAAAGAATATGACTCCCATGAGTTTACCTATTCTGGTCTATGTCTATTGAATATTTGACTTTATAAACTCTCGATAAATTTTTCAGGACTTTCATTTTTAAGATAAATCTCTTTTTAGAAGATATTTATTCCCAAACCAACTCTAATCCGATTAAACAAACATATGTATGATCCTAAAAATGTTCTGAGTACAAAAAAAAATCAAAAATGTATAATAGGCAAAAAAGAAAAATGGCACTAGCAGTTTTACTGCCATATAGCCCTCAATTATATCTAATTTACACTATTATCTATGTTGTATTTTACTTTAGTCTAAAACTTTAAATTATGTATTCTCAAAAGAGCTAGTCTTTTTTGAGAGATAGCTTATAAACTGAAATAACAATTTATATTATAAACTGAAATGTTATGACCTACCACCACATATACATATATAAAAATAGTCCCACTGAACGTTTGACATGTTTAGATTATGCAGCTCAAATAATTTGTTATAAAATATTTTAAAGCTTAGTTTCATGTAATTAAGACAAAACTCTCCATTTTTACCACTTCTCCCCACAAAAATGTGTGTGTCCTTTACTATGACTCGAGCGGGCTTCCCAGAATGAGGTGTCCAAAGGTGCTGCTTTAGAAAAGGTAAGTGAAGGGCTCAGTCAATATTTCACAAATTATAGTAACACTCACACAGAGCAGAGTAATGAGGACACAGAGAAAGCTGTCTCAAGAAAAGCTAATAATTCTATTAAGCTTTGCTTTTCAAAAACCAGTAGTATTTCTTTCAATACAAAACCTTCAATGGGAGAATTTTGAATTTTATGTAAAGGTTGTAGTGCAAGGATTTTCTTTAAGCAGATTAAAATCAAAACTTAGGTCAAAGACATGGAAGAGAACAAACATTCCTAATTAAGATGCAATTAACGAAGATCAGCTATTTTTATAAAGTCTGGCATTTAAAATGTAAAGTGAAAATTAACACACAAAGATCACAACAGTTGCACTTTATAGTTTCAAATCTCTTACTGAATTTTTAAAAAACTATTTTGAACACATAACAATGTATATAAACAAAAATGGTTCCAAATGAAGCACACAAAAAATAAAGTTGAAAAAAAAAAACTATGAAAAAATTTTCCATAGTTTAGTATAACAAAAATAAATCTCTTTCAGCAATTAAACCATGGTTTGAAAAGGGAATGTATGTTAATCATGGATTTAAAGGAACCTTAAATTGGTGCTACATATAAACAGAAATTTCTCATATATTCGTGAAGAACCCAAGCAAGAGCAACTATTCTTAAAGCTCAAACCTGATTACTGCTAACATCAGGTCAGACGTGGCTTATGTGTGGTCTTATGTGTGGTCTTATGTGTGAGCTGAACCCAGTTAGTTCAAGTTAAGATTTCACAAATTTCTCAAAACATGAACTTTGAGCTTGGCCTTGTATCTTTAGAAGACCAAGAATTTCAATTGTTTGCCCAGATCTTCCCTTAACTAGGGCTGTGAAGTCCTATCTAAGCAATTCAAGAGAACCACCACTGGAGTGTAAAAGCTTGCTAGGGGTACCCTGTCTCGGTCTTTTCCAGCGAAAGACAACCACAAGGAAAATAATGAAGACGTTATTGTTATTTTCTTTAAAGTAAGACAGCACAACATACAAAACACTAAACCAACTAATATATTAGAAAAAGAATTAAATGACTAACCTAATCCTAGTTTTCCAAAGTAAAATGATTAGAAATGATTTCTAAAATGTAGAAAAAGACTTTTACCCATATTACCCATATGGGACATAGTATCGAATTTCACTTTTCAAAACAAAGTAAATGTTAGAATCATTTAATAAAAATTTAAGTCTCATATACAAAAGAAAATTATTAACTTGATTTCTAAAACCAATGCCAATGTTTCTCTTTTTCAAAAACTACTGTGTACCTGACTGTTTCTTAAACTCAAACACCTCCAGTTTTGGAGTTTTAAAATCAGGTGTGTGTTTTTCATAGTTGTCTAATGTAACTGCAAAAAAACAAAACAAAAGTCTTCACATTTCCATGACTTCACTTTTTCATTTTAAGTTCAGTGGTGCAGCAGCAAAAAAAAAAAAAAAAAAGTGAAACTAGAAAACTTCTACAACAGCCATACAGAAGGCATTGCAATATTGCACCGATATCCTAAGGTCTGGCAGGTTCTGCCAGTGTAGATCTAGTCTGTATCAGATATAGACTCTGCTCAGGAGAAAATGGCATCTATTTGAATGAGCCATTCCCTGGTTATTCTTAATTTTGTCAACTATGTTTTTTCCTTCAAGTTCAAAAAGAGTTGAAAGGTGCGGCTAATCCTAAAACACTTACTACAAATGCTTTTAAACAATTATTCTTGATCCATTTTGAACTTTGAGGTTACTGTCCTTCATGCTAGTAGCTTTCAGTAAATAAAACAAAAGGTGAGGGCTTACATGCCCAGTGCCGCTAAGTATTTTGTACTAAACAAACAAGTAGATATGACCAGTAAGATTATAATCCTACTCCTTACCTCTAAGTCAAAACTGAGCTCCAATTTTCCACAAGTTGCTACTTTCCATTCAATAACAGATGTAGCAGCCTTATTGAATGTAAAGAATGGGAGTTGCACTTACTTTTGGGGGCCTTTATTTAGGAGTCTGGTATTACCTAAATTCTCTTTAAAAGTGCTTGCACGCTGCAGGGGCCAGGGCTTGTCATATACCACTCCGATTCTCACTAAAAACAGGGCAACGTTAAACAAACTGCAAAGAAAAACATTTTCAACAAGACAGACATCGATAAGGAACACTAACGTTAACTTTGGAAAAGAAAATATAAAATGTTAGTTTTCATAAATCCATACATGTTTCAGGAATATAAGGAGTTCAAATATTACTGAGTCAGTATGGACTGAAGATAGGCTACTCTGATACCAAATGAGGACTCCAGTTATTATAACTTTCTAAAAATGTTAATACATGAAAAGACATTACATCTAAAATTCAACAAGTATGGCAAACCGTGTGTGCAAGTGCACTAGCTTAAAAATATAGAATCCTAACCACGCACAAAAGGGGATGTGCCTTATATAGTCATAAGACGTATGCAAGTATGGATATGCTTTCACTAACACAATGCAGATAAGAGAAGGCAGCTTAGAAATAGTGTTTTGAATATAAAAAGTTAATTTTGTAGAAAATTTATATTTTTGCATTTTCAGCAAAAAGCCATGCAAAAAAGGTCAAGAGTTTTAAACAATAAAACCAAAAGGTCTAACGGACTGAAATACACTGAAATAAATGTTCAAAAAAGATTTCAGATATAGACTCTACTTCAGGAAAAAATGGCATCAATTTGAATGAGCCATTCCCTGGTTACTCTGAAATTACATCAAGTGACACTTATCAGGTCTTCTCTTAGAAGATGCACGACTCCTACACTGACATCTGAAAGAAACGTTTAAAGCATAAAATCAACTTCCCAGATAAGTGGATCATTCTATTAAACTGCTTCTGGAAGTAGTTTCAAGAGCTAGCGCTTAGAATTAACTTATTGCATGAGTTTGAGGCCACTAAAATGAAAAAAAAAAGGATGCTAGCACAGAATGAAAAATTTTTATGCTATTAGACCCATGGCTTTGATAGTAAAACTGGTGAGGTTTTTCTTTATGTGTTTTAGTTAACTACTTTGTCACAAACAAAATTTTTGTTTGGCTTTTTTTAGAGAAAGATGTCACTGGTTGCAACGTCTGACTTCATCCAGTATATATTCTGGAAAATGCAGGTTGCATACTTGTAAACCATCCAGCTTGCAGGGCATCCGCGGGTACTCATCTTCCTTCCATTTGTTTTCTTCTGGATCAAAAGTGAGAATGGAATCGCTGTAATGACCGTTGTAGCAAAGGCCTCCAAGAACCATTATTTGTTTGTCCAGCACAGTCACACCATGGCCACTTCTACCAATTGGCATGGATGCCAAGATGGTCCACTGATCAGTCTCTGGGTTGTACACTTCTGTGGAAGGGCAGCCCTGAGATTCGAAAGAGGCCCTCAAGATCACACAGACACCACCAAAGACATAAAGCTTGCCGTTGTAAGAAATCATCTTGTGAAAGCATCTTGCGTAATTCATTTTGCTCTTATTCTCCCAGCAGTTGGTCACTACTTGGGTTCTCCTGGTCCGTTGCTCGATGGTTCCTTCTTTGCTGGGGTCAAACACGCACACTTGCTTGGAGGTGGAAGATGAGGTGATTCCACCGGTGATAAACAACTTGTTATTGAGCACTGTCCCCTCATGTCCATATTTGTTAACTGGATAAGGATCTACAAATTCCCATTTGTCATTGGTGATATCATATCTCTCTGTTGAATAGAAAGTCTCATCTCTGGTTCTGCCTGCTACAGCGTAAATGAACTTCCCAATAACACCAACTGCAAATTCTGAACGTGGTACAGACATGTCTGCCATCTGGAGCCAAGAGTTTTGTCTTGGGTCATACCTGAACACTTTGGAAGAAGCATGGAACTCGCCATCTGGGCCCAGTTCTTCCCCGCCCAACAAGAACACGAAGTTATTGACAATGGCAAGGCAGTCTGGGCGCAGAGGTACCTGGGGGCCCTCCAGTTCCCACCAGACTCTCGGTTTCTTTAAGAGAAGTATTTTACTGTTGACCATACTGTGTCCAATCATGCCTCGGAATACTGTTGTCTGCGGCTTGGCAGAGCGGATGCGGCTTGATTTCATATCCAACAAAGGCTGCTGGTGAATGTTCTGAAAGTAATGCAGTGCTTGGTCAACTTCATAGCGCAGCTGTCGGGAGTATCTATAGAATTCTGATGTCTTAACCTAAGAATACAAGTAAAAGAATTTAACCAAAAGAACATCACTGGCAAACAAAACATCAGCACTCACAAACAAGATCAGGGAAAGATTTTAGGCTCACTTTACTAAAACTGCTTTTATTTTATGAAGCTTTCATCGTATTTGTTTTCGTACTCTGTATTTGTCATATAACCTATGCACATTCCCAGGCTTTTTAAAGTAAACGAGCTGCTTTCCAGGCACAAGCTAAACTCCTCCCCCGAAATGTATTCATCACCTATTGTATGTCAGGCCTTGGGCTGTAAGTGTGGCTGTGAGGACAAACAGAGGTTTCACAGTAGAGAAAACCATGACCATGATTTTCTTAACCACAAGGAACACTGTAAGAACAGCCATGACTGAATAATTGGGGGAATGAAGTTAGTGAGTTAGTAGAAATTTAAATACACACAAAGTTCTCAGTAGGTTTTTGACACAAGGACTTGGTCTGATATCATCAACTCCTGTCATAATAATTCAATTGACAAGAAAAGGTCAATTTTTTTTTCCTTTTTTGTTTTTGGAGCTGGAACTACCTAATTAAGATGATTCCTAAGATCTTATGAAGCACTTTTAAGTGTTGTGCTAATGCTATGGGGAGATTAAAAAAAAATGTAAGGTGTCTGCTTCCTCAAAGAACTTAGAATATATCTGGGGAAATGAGAACAAATACACATTTACCAATAAGTACATGAGGCACTTGACGGGTAGTTATGAAGCCATACAGCAGCGCACCTGTGAGTGCTGTAGAACTTCACATCGAGAGCATATCCAACAGGCCCGAGCCACTCAAAGGATCCTTTGTGAAAGAGGTTAGGAAGTTGAAGACCGAGCGGGAAAAGCCTGAATCGTAATGATGAGGATGATAAGAGTCTTACATTTGGACGGTAGAAATTAGGTATTGTAGAGATAAAATCAGCAGAAGTACATGACTGATTTGAAGTAGGGATAGGGCCAAAAAGTGAGGACTCAAATGTGATGTGAGGATGCAGACGAGGTGATAAGGGAGAGTGGTGTTAATAAGGCGAATGGGAGAGACAAGCTGCTTTGAGACAGGTATCCTAGTTCACTGGTGATCAATTGGAGTTGCTGGTAGGATGGTGCGGTGGAAACGTCTAGGAGCCTGTTGGAAATCTGGGATGACAGCTTGGGAGGGGGTCAAACCAGGCGTATATATTTATGAACTTTCTTTCCTTCCTCTTCTCTTTCTTCTTCCCTCCTTCCTATCTTTCTCATTCACTCCCCACCTTAGTCCAAAATAGTATTTGAAAAAAGAAAGCACCACCATTTTTTAAGTATTTTGCTAACTGTATTTCAATATAATTGGTTTCCTTTGTAATCCCAAGTATTTTTTTATGCGTTTAAAAGCATTATTCTGAGAAGGGGTCCTTCTGCGGGTTTCATCAGACTAGCAGAGGGGTAAACGACACAAAAAAGGTTGAGAATTCCTTGTCTAGCTACATAAAAGAGAGAGAACCGACGTTACTGCACTGGGTGCTTTAAGTGTAATATCTCATGTTAAATTATTCCATGAGACAGCAATAACCATCCCTGTTTTCCTGATGAGAAAACTGAGGCTTAGAATGTTAAGTAACTTGCCCAAATTGTTTGCATGCCTGAAACTAGACCTGCGATCTACTGAACCAGGATAGTCTTGCTCCAAAGCTGAATCAATTTCCAGTATGTTAGAACACAGCTTCCATTACTCTTTAGACAACTCTTTAAATGACATACTCATTTATTAAAATACTTAACATGTTCACTGAATGATCCTAATGACCCCTTTCAAAGAAAAGGTAGTATAATTGTTCTTAATACAAAGAATCAATCATACGGATCACAATGAATGGGCATCCAACCCAATTATTCCTAGCAAAACAGTTAACTGGAAGAAAGACAATAATGGTAAACAATTAATTTCAATAAAGATAATATACTAAAGAAAAAAATGTAAGCTCTGAGATCTTATCCGTTGCTACTTTTACTTCACATATAAAAAGTTAAAGAACAAAGGAAACAAACTGAGCTTCAATCTCTTATGAGAAACAACGGCAATACTATACAGCCAATAAGGACATCATTGAATATTGATTAACATGGAATGATGTTCACAATATATTGCTTTTTAAAAGCAACAGTACTCTGGTATCCCAATTAAATAAAATTTTGTGCATGTTTGCTTGTGTCAATAGTGATTATTTTTGAAATTTCACACATTTTTGTAGCTTTTGTTTTTCATGTATCATATTTATAAAAAGAGGCTTGCCATTTTAAAAATAGGTCTCCTAAAACCATCAAAAGTAGATTTGATTAGTAAAAATGAGCATTTTTTTCATTCTCCATTCATTTCTTCTATGAATTGCCTAATAGTGTGACTCACCCATTTTCTCATCTTTTCCTTATTGATTTATAACAGCTAAAAGGCAATACCCTTGAAATCAACAAGAAACAAACCTCAAATTAAATATTTACGTGCCTACTGTGCACAGCCAGTGGTCTGAGAGCTACACAGATTTTGAAGTAATAGAATCTTGTCCAGCATAGTAATTAAGCACCACATCAAGCAGCACAGTATGGTGATTAAGAATCTGATTTAGGAAATATCCGACTTTGGCACTCACGAGCCTTTCGATCTTGGACAAGTAACTCAACATCCTCAAACCTGTTTCCTCATGTGTATCACTGGGTAACAGCACCTACACCTCCTAACCCTAAGGTAGGAAACGAGCAATATAATCAATCTACGTGAAAAGGACTTAGTATGGTGCCTGTCATGTGGCAGTGTACAAAAAATAATAGCAGTTACCAGCTATTATTACTGACCGGGAAACGTCTGTGGAAGTGTCACTCAGCTTAAGTCAATGCATCTGATGACGTGCTTTCAGTCTGTATAAAAATTCGGTCTTTCAGAAAGTAGAGAAGAAATGAGAGAAACTGTTACTTTGGATCTAAGTCTCACCAGGAAAACATAACTGGTAACATGCAAGTAGGAGGAAGCTTTAGAGAAAGCACCCGTGTTGTTTGGAGACCAAGAAAGAAAGGAAGGGAAATGCTGCACATATTGGATGGGCAGATTTCAAGTTTTCCAAAGGAAAATTAGGATCAATTCCAAGACCATAAACTGTGTAAAGAAGCTCAAGAAAGCTTGCAGGCTCTCAAAAGCATAATGCTGACTGCATAATTGCAAAACACACTGATGAGGGGAAGAAAAGGGGAAAGTATCTAAAAAATCTGATGTGCTACAGAGAGCTTTCTGGAATTCAGATGTTAAAAAACCACTCACAACAGATGGTAAAAAAAAAACAAACAGGCACATAAAACAAGTATTAGTGGAATGGAGCTGTAAGAATATTGTGAACAAGGCTAAAGCCCCAGGATGAACTGTGACTTTACGAAGTGCCAGATATTGAATAAATGGCATTTTAGAGGTTAAAGTAAAAAGAAGTAGAGGGAAAAGTGAAGCCCCCGCCCCCCGGGGGCCATGGGGCTTAATGTAATATTGACAAAGACAAACAGCCTTACTCCTATTTTATTTCCATTCTCAGCTAAGAATGTTTTATTCTTTCCAATCTGAAGATCAAATACAATGACTAAGAAGAAACTTAAATCCAAGATGGCTGAGAAAAAAAAGAAAAACCAGCTAGATATTCTCACCGAGTTCAAGTCATTTGATCTCACAAATCACATCCTGGGATCCTGAGAGGCTTCACAGATAAGGCTGCTTAATTGATTTCTGTAATCTGTGTGGAATCGTGAAGAATGGGAGAGGACTAGAAGCCAGACAGATTTCCCACCTACAGACTGGTTAGCTTGAGGATGATCCTGGATTGTTAAAAAAATAACTCTCACGAATAAAAAAAGCGCTACACACTAGGAGGCAGCACAGATGCACCAAGTGATGCCAAGACTGACCATTTCGGTTTAATTTTTGACGATATAACAGCACGGGTAGATAATGAGAGAACCTTTGATTTCAGCAAAGTAATCAACAAAGTCTAAGAAATGCTTGGTACCCATGAACCACCTGAAATTGCAGCAATAATTGTGTTAATGATTTGGGGGGTAGGGTGAGGTGTGAGAAGTCCACAGCTTTAACCAGATGCTCCAGGGAGCCATGAACTCCAAAAGCTTTAACTGACTCTATCCTCACTATAAACAATGTGATATGACAGCCTTAAGAGATAATAAAATCCTGGACTGAATTAAAAGAATAGACAACCCCACACTTTCCATTCGGGTGGAACCATAGCTACAATAAGACAGTGTTCCGTTCTATCGCTACACTTCAGACATCGACAAAGTGAACCATGTCTGGAGAAACATGGCAACTGTTTTCAGAACCAGTAAGTGGAAGTTAAGAGGAAGATCTTAGGCCAATAAAAAAAAACAATAAAATAAAAGCTTTGTAATTAGAACTGTCAAGATAATGGACATTCATTGCATGATACGTAAGACAACAAAAACTGGGAACAACTCAAGCACCTATCAACAGGACATCGGTTGAATAAACTCTGGTATATATCATATGCAGTAGTCATTAAAGAGTGAGGTTCACCCATATGCACTAGCAGACATTCAAAATGTCAAATGACAAAAACCGCACAACAGTCATATAATATTCTCAAACAATAAAACTGAACTGCTTCAGTCGGCAGTAGATGCAGGGGGAAACGTTATACGTGGACAACATACAGTTATCAATGAGCTTCTGGGAGACCCATCCTTTTTAGGTCCATGTAGGTCTATACTTACAGGGACTACAGTAAGAAAGGTATATAGATACATACTTTCCCAAGTCAGGGACTGTCTACCTCGAGTCCAGGTGTGACCACCTATCAGGAGCATGGGAGAGGGGTTCCAGCGTCACACGTGGACTAGGAGAATGGCCTCTACCGGCCTTCCACCTTCCAAGCCCAGGTTCTTGCAGATCTCATCAAGCTGGGCCAGCCTAACTGCTTTTCAGGCATTTTCCTGTCTTTCATTTC